CGCAGCGGCGTGGACAGGCAACTTTGTATTGTCTCGGATATGTCCTCCAGTCGCGACAGCTCACATGGCGGCAACTCGATTGGCGGTGCTGTGTCTGACATATCCTCGAAACGCTCATCCTCTGACTCTTCAACAATGTCCTGCGTTATCTCAACGGATGGATCTTTGCCCTGCACCTGTATACAGCATTAACATAATTCAAATGTAGGTCATCCAAACATAACTAGAAATTAAAGAATTATTAAGTACCTGACATATCTTCTCCCATATCTCATCACAACCAGCTTTCTCCTGAAAGCTCAGCGCCAGATCGAAGTTATCGCCCTCTGACCAGACAATAAGCGTATCCTGTTGCTTCTGGTAAGCCGTATCCGGCTGTATCTTACTCTCCAACAATAAGGAACCATCTGATTCAGCACGCACTAGCAGCGATGTGCCCTTGAGACGCTCCACATATGTGGAGGAGACATGTCCAGTACCACGGTCATCCCATTGCCGTTCAGCATTCAGTGCATAGAGCTTAACACGTCGGCGGGTGTCAGTCGTCATGGTTTGGCTTTAGAGGTATTTGTGCTCTCCGCTCTTTTGCTGTTTTTTTTTTTTTTTTTTTTTTATAGTTGTTTCACAAAAATTACTTTCAGCTGTGCCTTTAATCGTTGGTGGCTTGTAGCCTCGCTTGGGATAGTCAACTAGACTACTTACAATGAAATTAGGATTTTGAATTTTGAATTCAAAATATTCAACTAATGTCTCAGTTCGACTTGCATATCCATGTTATATTTTTATGCTGTGATCTGTGAGGCGTGCAAGGCAAAACTGAAAAGAAAATTTTAGAACAGAGAGAAACAATAATTATTATTCGTTGTCAGAAACGGAAAACTGTCAAAATTTTTAAAATGTCATATACGTCATTTAACTGAATGTAACGATATATTTATAATCAATCCATTGGAGTGTAGTTGAAATCTCTTCTTTATTGTATCACTACACTAAATAAGTAATCCCATACATATGTATACTTTTTGTACTCATACAGTCCCAATTACGATAACAACAAATGCGTATCAAAACAGAAGATGCGAAAACAGACAGCATGAATGAAATTGTGAAAGCTTCGTTTTATGTTGATGCATGTGCAGTGTATGTGTAATTGAGCATACAAACACTTTCATATGTGTATGCGTATGTATTTGTAGAGAAATACAAACTATTCGCAAAACGAAATGCCAAAACTATTTTTGCCCACTCTGTTTACAAACAACAAAAAATCGGTGCCAATTGAGAGTATTCGAATAGAAGATACCGTATACTTAGTTCTTTAAGGGCTGCAGAGAGTAAGTAGGCGAACAAGTGAGAGAGAGAAGACATGGAATGTTATAAAACGCAAATATAAAAAAGAATGGAAACAAAATCAAAGCGAGGAAGAGAAAGAAAATGTGCGAGAGAGAGAGATAGAAATAAATTGCAAATGTTATTATTTAATGATCCTTTCCATGTTAAATGAACTTCATTATGCCCTTAACACATATTATGCGACTATTGAGTGTTCGATTCGGGTTTTTCAAATCTCTCTACAACATGCTGTCGTTTGTTATTGTGTGCTTGTGTCTTTTCTGAAGTCTCCACATCGCAAACTATTATCGCGCTTTCGCCAAAGCGACCCACAACAACAACAACGAGCACAAACACGCGCGCGACAAAAACAAACACAAAATGAGTGGTCAGAACGTGAGAGAGAGCGCAAGAGAGGAAAATGAGCAACACAGAGAGAGAGAGAGAGAGTAGAGCCAGTAGTACATTTCATTTGGCTGTGTGTAGCAAGTGGGTGGCGGCCGGCTAGCGGGGTAAATTCGCGGCGACAAGATTAGATTATCAAACACACACACACACACACACACACACACAAAGAAACGCTGTTGCTATAAAGTACAACGTACGACGTACGCACAAGGGAACAAAAATCAATGAGCAAGTGTATAAAAAAATGTGTGTAAACAGAATAGATATTTAGCCCATAGCAATAAAAGAGACACGGTCTACGTCATCGTCAGAGAAAACTGAGGAAATCCACCTTTGTCTAACAAAAACGCTTAAATATAATACATATACGTACATACACACCCATATATATATATGTACATATGTGTAAGACATATAGATTAGTAATTAATATTAATAACGACGTTAATACATATAGGTATATCATATAAATTGACTTGAATATTTCAACATTTGCATTATGGCATCCCCTCACCACGGGCGCCGCTTTGATAAGGCGCACTCTAATCTACGTTTATACTTCGCCTCACGCGAACGTGTATCAAAACAAAAGCACCAATTAGCAAGCAAACACTAATACAAAATGGGCATTTACGCAACCAACGCAATTGCTTTCGAACTCATTGAAAAAGTTCCCAAATAATACACACTCACACACTGTAAACTATACACATGCATACACACATATATATATGCAATTAGGTTCAATGTCTCCGCAAGCTGTGTGGGCGAGCGACCAATTCGTCTAGGACCAACATGCAAATCGGTCAACGCTAATAATTGCCACATGCTTCATCGCAAAAAAGGCACGAAAAGAAGAAAAATAACTACTTAAAAAACTCATTTGTCTCCCAGCAACAAAGTTCAAGTTAAAGTAAAGCCCAGCTGCTGAGAGCGCTTATTGAAATGGGAGCGGGAGAGCGTCAATGGCAATAAAACCAAATGAAAAATATTGACGCTGCCTGCAAGTGGCATAAAAAATAGGGGCGAGGCTGGGGGCGTAAGCTATGCATGTGTGTGTGTGTGCGCGCAAACGAAACGGAGAAAAAATACATCAGCCAAAAAGAAACAGGACAATGACAATACGCATTAGTATGTGTGTGCATTGTGTGTGTGTGTGTGATGGATCTCACACAATGAATGGCCCGCAAAGGCTGGTAGAAAACGAACGCGTCGTATCTCGTCCGATGTATGCAGAATACGCGCGCATATGTATGTGTGTATGACTGTGCTTTGCATTCCCGTTTTGGGGTGGGCAAAAAAAAAAAACCAGGAATTTCAATGTAAATAAGTATGTACATCTTCTTTTGTAAGCATATCCCGTGTTTGGTAATTCGACAAAAATTTGCGGAATTTTGTGCTTTTGACATTCAATTTTTAAAACGTTCGAAATACAAACACCGATACTAACGCATACACACAAACACACATATCAGCCGTCCAGTGAGTACATCGTTTTTCGGCCCGTTTCTTTTCTTTTCATTCACTAAATTATTGCGAATGACAAACGCAAAACAGAATTGCAAAAAATTGCAGCGTATATCTGGCAAAGAGTATGGCTAAAGAAAAATGCCGTCTACGCTCGCACTTTTTCACACACTCGCACACACACACTCACGGAAACACAACATCTCAATCAAATTGAATGACGCATGCATTATTTGAAAAGATTTTATTTTGATTTTGTGCTAGTCTAGATTTGATTTATCCAATATCGCATAGCGGTAATCGTTTCAAGAATTAATTAAACGCACACAAGATATATAAAAACAACGGGTACACACCACAAAACTACACAGGGCCGTCACGTACACATACTGAAACAGAGAAATACGGCAAGCGCAAAATCCACCACATGTAAAGCGGCAATCTTCAAATTCAACACACTACAAAATAGAAGAACCATAAACTCAACACGGTGAACGTTTTGTTGCATAAAGTACGAGTTGTATCCATAAATGAAAACAATTTAGATCCAAATGTGCAATGTTCATAAAGACGCACCGCATACTCAAGCTCGATCGACTGTTTCATGTTTTGCGATTGCGTTAAATATTCGTATTAAGATGAACATCAGAATCAAGTATAGTTACACACGAAAAAGACACATGCACACCTAAACACACAYACACACGCAAACACTCACACACACAAGCTCACTCATAGAAGCCGCAAGAGGGCAACAACGGTGGAAGCGAAAGCGCGAGGGGTACTATTCAATCTTGACCAAAAAATGTATGCACTCACGTTGCAATTCCTTGTTTACGCTACTGGCAGCACCTATTATCAATCATTCAAAGTATATACAATTTGCGTTTGCGCATATTTACTGTTTCCAACACCTTATTTATAAAACATTTGCAATTCAACTCTTAATTTAAACTTTTTCGCGGAACGGACGCTGTTCCAACCGAGACGACGACGATTTTGTGCTGTGTCGACGCCATATTGTATTTTGTATACATCGATACCGCCATCGATATGCACTTACCTATCGATGCACAAATGTAAACAAAAGTATGACCGTTCCGTTCAACAGTGCTGCACAACAATAGCAGTTAGTGTTGTAAGGCGGCGTTTGAAAAATATTTATTTATTTATTGCACTGAGCAGATTTTCAATGGAGCCGAGTCGGCATAGATATTTTAGCATTACAGCGAAATATAAAGGCGTCGATGTGGAGGACTTAGAACTTACYGTTCAGAAATATGGAAACGATGTCGTTCGCATACAGTTATTAAACCGTATGCATGGTCAACAATGTGCAGTTCAATTTAAGCGATTTTGTGTGCTACTCGGCTTGGGTATTGTTTATTTCGCCTTTGCTCTGACAGTGAGCGAAGGGCCTGCCAGATTAGGCCAGGCTCAATTTCTATACCCCACCTTACTCTGGCTAGCCATGTCCATATCAATAATCCGCACCGCTCTCCAGTTGGTGCACTCTGAGAAACTCTTCTACAGCTGGGACATGGCTCTGCAAACGGAAACAGTTCGAACTTTTGGACGCCAATCGGTGCTCTGTGTGCAACGCGGTCATCTCCATGACATGGTTCTCAACGAGGTCATAGAGAATGTGCGTTGGGCTTACGTTTAAATAACGGCATATTTATTTCAAACCATTTTCTTTTACTTACAGCTAGACATAAAGTATATGCTCATATTGCGTACAAAGGGCAGCATATTCAAAGAGCGCCCCATAATACCACTATTCAATGTGAGTTGCGAGGTTTTGTTCCTTGTATGTTAATGTATGTTAACTTATTTACTTAAATTTAAAGAGTCTTTCGCCATCCTTCGAGTGCCTGCAGCATATTCAACACATTTTGCATGGCTATTGGCTCAATAACAATAAACATAAATCGGATCAGTCTTGCAAAAAAGATCTACCCTCTTCGGCTGCATCGTAAAGCTCCATCAGTTTGTCCAACTATAAAAAATAAAACATATTTTCTAATTTATTTTCACCAAAGACTCAATATAAGTGTGTAGCTACTTGTAACATGGGTATGTATTCTTCAGGCTCCTTTTGCTGTGGCGGCAATTTCGGAATATTTAATGGAACGTCAACTCGCTGAAAATTACCGCGTATCTGCAAAATAAATAATATAAACATATACATAAACACAGGTTTTATTCATTTACCAAATTGTTGAGGTCTGTTGTGTAGACATGTTTTGCCATTTTTGAATAGAATTCCAGGTAGACTGATTTGCTAAAAATTAAATCGTCTTGTGCCTTGCGCAGAGCTTGCACTTGTTGTAGCGTTAATTCTGTATAAACATATTGCATTAGTAGATTATAATTAATGTATTTTCTACTTCGCCTCACTTTCCATGTCGGTTTGTTTTCCTTTGGCGTCTCTTTTCGAATATCTGCCTGTACTATATATCGATAAGTGCTGGCTAACAGCACTGAATCGCCAGCTGATGTCATTTTTTGTTATTTTTTACATTCACTTGTAACATTGATCTATCTAGGCAGGCAAATTATTAAAATACTTTTTAATTTACATATGTTCTTTAAAGTTTGTTTATAATTGAAATGTTTTGTACATAGTTCGATTCATTTTTCTTTTACAAAATTTTATCTTTGGTGTCTGTTTCAAATGTTTGATAGTGCTGTGAAACGATTCGTTTTTAATAATTAATAGCACTACGCAGTCAGCTGACGTCATTTGCCCATATAATAGTAAACAACTGGCGTTTGTTTATGTGCAAATTGAATGTTTCGTTAATGGTTTTAAAAATTATTGTAACGCTGGCAGAGCTGTGGCCCCTTGAAACGAACGTATACATCTGAAACTAAAATGCAAAGAAGCTGTAGTAGCAGTTAGCTTTATTTCAGGATAAAACAATAATATTTGTAAGTCGAAACATTCATTAGCTAAAAATACGCACTCATATGGGTGTGTCCACGGACAGCACATGGTCAAAGCATTTGCCTAATGTGTATGAATAAATCTGTTTCAGTTTCCTCCATTTCGCGACCTTCTATACTATCATGAACCGTTCGGATTCTATACCCATACGGCGTGATCGCTCCTTTGACAGCGTTCTCAATCGTTTGCTGCGGATGCGCACACAAAATCATGAGAGCTTTCGCGCTGCTATGTACAATTTTCTAATAGCAGCAGGTGTGGCTGCTTTTGTGGCTGTCTGCATCATACTGGGCCCTTTTGTTCGGCCTCTACTCTGGGCCTTCCTCATGGGCGCCGTCTTGTTTCCATTCAAGCGCAGGCTGGCCGAATTGCTTAACAATTGGTTTCAGCGCTTGGAGGAGCGAGATTCAAATATGCTCGTCTCAATTTGTCTGGCGCCCCTGGAGGCCACCGAACATTGCGGTCGGCTGCTTATAAGCTGGCTCTGCCAGCATTGGCAGCTCCTTTCATCCGGCTGCGGTGTCGCTGTCTGCGTTAAGCTGCTCGTTTTATATGCACCCAGCGGATTCCTGATGGCTCTCTGGCGGTGGATAACCTTCTCGCATAGCTTGTTTGTGACCATCATTGGCTTCCTCAATGCATATGTGGTAGGTGATTTAATTAATGCATGACTTTAAATTTTTCTTTCATTTCTATCTGCACACTTCACTTGCAGCTCATCGTTTTGATTGTCATATACCTGTCCTCCGTACACTTTTTCTGGAAGCCGGAGAACAAAGCTCACTTCGTAGTTGCCGGGCAGTCCATGTGGATAGCCATTGCCAGCTATTTGTGCAGCTTTCTGGGCGCCCTTCAGGTGCCGGCTCTGCTGCTTGTCATGAGCTACGTCATTGCATCCACAGCGTATCATCTACAGACAACTCATAATCACGACTCAAGCTCCTTTTTGGATCGCCTGCAAAAGCTGTTTGATCGAAACGATTTCGAGAAATCCCTGAGTATTTGCCGCAAAGCTGCTGGCGAGCCGACTCTGCAATCTGATGTAGAAGATATCTCATTGAGCGAGACCGTAGACTCCGAGGATACATTCGATGCGAAGCCAGCCGAGGAGACTGAGGGACATCAAAGCGATACCTATTTTAAGTTATTATTCTATGCCTGCCTTGGCACCTTTTTGTATCGCAATATTTGGTTGTTCATCCTGGCTGCGGTGCCGGTGTTTCTACATCTACTGTATACTGCCGGCAGTTATACGGGAATAACTCAGTTTGTGTGCAACAAGATCAATGACGCCTATCACGGCGTAAGGGTAAGCTCTTTCATTATATATATATTTACTTATTTTGACTGTTTTTTTTTTTTTTTTTTCAAATTGCAGAGCTGGGCTTTGGATCATCATTCAGCTGTGCTGCCCTTGTGTCTGCCTGGCGTTTTGGAGCTTAACTACAAGATCAATAGCATTGTCCGGGATTCATTGAAATCATCTGTGGAGTCTGTTACATCCATTCTAATGATCATACTCATGTTGCTCATAATCATATTTCTGAGTGTTTTCTTTTGCGTCAACATTTATTCAGAGACAATTGAGGTCGCATATCTGGGCAAAGATCTAATTAACAAGACAATCACCGATCGTCCTGAGCTAATTGATATTTTGCCAGCCAATATACAAGCGTCCATTGATGATGCGCTCGATAATGCGCATCATTATGGGCGCCGTAAGATTGAGACCTACATTGATGATTGGTTGGCCGATGCGGACAAGGTGCATGCCACCAAGTTGAAAGAGCAAATCCTCGATGTCTGGGATAGACTCATACAGTATTGGATTGATTTCAATAAGGCGGGCACCTCGTATGGACCGCGCGTTCCAACCGACGCCCTAAAGAGCACCTTTGGTGAGATTGTTGATAATCCAGGTAAGGTTCAACCAATCGGGTTTGGTTTTTTCTGTTATTTGTTATCATTTGTCCAACGTTTATGTTTTGAGTTTTTGATTTTAGCTCAGCGCTAACTATTTATACAAAGCTCCCCAAAGAGCTGCGTTTGGCCCTAATCTCCATCCTGTATTATTTTTTCGTATGCGTGAAAACAAATAACTCATTACATGTTGCCTTTGCTAACCCATGGTATTTTACTTTAACCAAGGACATTTTAAAGAGCTAGTTTTAGTGGCAAAACAGGGCATCATTGGCTGGGCGCAAAGCAACACCCAAACGATATTGGAGGTCGCCGAATCCCTATGGCATATCATACGCACCAACCTCTCGATGATAATGGGCGTTACGGGTGAGATATTGTCGCTGCTGCTGTCGGGCGGACAGGCGTGTATTGAATTCATATTGGATATGGTAAGCATTAGGTGTGTGCGCTGTTACCTTCCTTTACTTATCAACATTGATTCTCTTCCAGATTGTCTTCTTCACTGCCTTGTTCTATCTGCTATCCAGCAGCCAGGAGAAATATGCGCCCATGCAGATAACCAAATACATGGGATATTCAGCATCGGGCATCAAGGTTGCCGATGCATTGGAGAATTCCATAACCGTTGTGCTTGTGTCCATGTTCAAGTGCTCCACCTTTACGGGGCTGTTCACGTGGCTGGTCCATACGGTGTTTGGTGCACGCATAGTTTTCCTGCCCTCCGCTTTGGCTGCGCTGCTGGCGGCGGCTCCATTTTTGGGCAGCTATTGGTGTGCTGTGCCCGCCTTTTTGGAGCTTTGGCTGGCACAGGATCGTTTCTATGCGGGCCTCATACTGTTCCTATTACAATTCTTCGTACCCTCGTCCTTTGAGACTGCCATCTATGCGGATCTTAAGGGGTAAGTGAAGATGTTCGTCAGAAAGTGCAGAAATAATAACTCAATATTTACAGTGGAGGTCATCCCTACCTCAATGGCCTGGCCATAGCGGGTGGCATGTACTGGATTGGCTGGCAGGGTGCCATATTTGGGCCACTCATGCTCTGCTTCTTCATTGGCCTATTCGAAGTGGCCACCCTAGCCATGCGCACGAATCAGGAGCCCAGGTATGTTCGGAGCAAGTTAAAAGAAGCTCTCTTTCTTTTTGTATGCAAGTTAAGTTATTTTATTTATGTCGACAACTTTGCGGCTGAAGAATATAAGTAAGTTTTTGTTTTCTTTTGTTAATTGTGAATTTGTTGCTATTGCTGAATGTTCATACATCGATTCTGGAACTTGCTCTAATCAATTTCACTTTACAGACGCAGCTCGGATGAGGAGACGCGCACTACGTAAGTCCTGAGTTAGGCTTCCATGGATGGTACTCGAAATGCAAAGCTAACAATCAACTATGGCTAAGCTTCTAAGCCTCTCTGACCAACTGACTAATCTATAATCATACCAGCCACAGCAAATTTCGCGATTTTAGTTATTTTCTCTTTTGCTTTTTGCTCTTATTTACACCTTATTTTTGTACTAAATTTTTAAGTATACAAATATTTGAGTCCGTCTCTTAAAAGCTGTGTATTCAAAGCAAACGAATTTTACTAATGTGTTTGGATTGAAGTTTATATACCCTTGCCATACTTGGACATTTGTTGTGACATAGACAACTAGTGTATACCCTATTACCTCTCAGATATGTCTTGTGACATAGCGAAAGACATATACACTATGAAATGCAATTCCTTAATCTCTTGCATGCTCCTTAATCTCTTTCATGTGTAGCCAAACTAAGTTTTGAAATTAATATAATATTTATTAAACAATCTCAAGGGTATGTAAACTTTTTAGTTTTAAGCAAACATTTATATCCGTCAATAACAATAACTCTACGTCTTTTTGCTTTGTATATATAAAGAGAGAATTGTTTAAAAGCTTGATTCCAAAACCGTCAACCGGTTTCCTCTTAGAAATACGTACCTAATTGTTTTGTGCTCGCTACGAATGTGATTTCTTTAAGCTTATGTTAATTAATTTTATTGCAAATAAATGTCATTACGTACTAAACAATACAAAAGATTACAGTGAACACTCGCTCATGAGAGATTTGGTAAATTTTGAATAGTTCAATCTTTTTATGAACCATAAATAAATTCTGAAATCTTTGTTAAATGTAAAATAAATGTTCACCAAGCAATTCCAATTAGCGAGCGATCACTGTACTGCAGCCCAGTTAATTTTTCAGTTCTATTTTCAGTCAAGAACTTGATTCTTTCCACAATCGAAACGAGAATAACGTCGAAAACGAAATCGAAAAAGAATGCAATAAAAATGTTGCCGCAGTGCAGGATGCCACGCCCAGAGACAGTGAAAAGCGCGTGGGAAAACCAGTTATATTGAAAATTATAACGAACATGTTGCAGCCATTGGACACGCCTAAAGGCAGTTGAAATTGCTTTTCTGTTTTCTTTATTATTTGTAGTATAAAATATATAAAATGTCTATATGTTTGTACTGTAATTAATTGGTGAATTGATTCTTGAAAGTAAACTCCGGATGTTGTTCCACACTGCAAAGGAAAGAGCGATATGTTAAAGGAGTTTATCAATGGGAGCCCGTATCTCCAGCTTACCCGCGGAAGAAGGAGAAATCGCAGATGCGTATGTTCTTGTCCAGTGCACACAGTTTGGCCACCTCCTCGGCGCTCAGCTGAAAGTCGAAGACATCCAAATTTTGCTTAAGGCGCGCCTCATTTGTGCTCTTCGGTATGGCCACAACGCCCGTGTCGATGATCCAGCGGAGCAGCACCTGGGCCGGCGTCTTCTTGTGTGCCTCGGCGATCTGCTTAACCTCCGGTATGTCCATCAGATCGGGCAAGTCACGCTCTACGCCAGCGGCCGCATTGAACTTGGCAATGCCCTTGGAGCCGAGTGGGGAATACGCCGTAATGGCAATATTCTCTGCCTTGCAGAAGTCGACCAGATCGCGTTGCTGCAGGTACACATGATGCTCGATCTGATTTGTGGCTGGACGTATTTTGCAATTCTTTAGCAGACGTGCCACTTGCTCCTTGCTAAAGTTGGAAACGCCAATGGATTTGGCCAGCCCATTTTCCACCAGCTTCTCCATCTCTGCCCAGATGGCAGCATGATCCGTGGACTTGTCCACCTTGACGCGACCCTCATCATCAAACTGAAAGCTGCCGTCAGGATTGATGAATAGCGTGAAAGGCGTATGCACTAGATACATGTCCACATAGTCCAGCTGCAGATCGGCCAGCGACTGCTTGATTGTGGGCTCCACCTCATGTGGACGATTGGCTACATAGACGAATAGTTAATGCTGCGCTGGGTTTCAGTGAATGGGTCTTACCAATGGGCGGCAGTTTGGTTACAATGTAGAGATCCTCCCGCTTCACTTTGCCCGCATCCAACCAGCGTTTAAGTACGCGGCCGATGGCCTTCTCGTTGCCATAGACCGGGGCGGTGTCTATGTGCCTGTAGCCCGCCGAGAGGGCGACATCAATTGCGGTTTCGATTTCCTCATCGGATGCCTAGGTGTGCGATAATGAGATTGCGGTTTATGACATATTTCAAGAATCACCTTTCACTGACAGACAGTATAATGGGCTAGTCGTTAAATGAATATTTTTTGATTGTAGATCATATAAATTAAATGTTATACTGATCCGTATCAGCAATTGAGACGCTGTAGCCTGATGTTTATGGATGCTACCATAATATACTATATTTCTCCTATAAGTATTACAATCGTATAACAGTTTCTTGAAAGGATTTAATACTATACATATTTTTAGTATAACACATACAATACTGCCTTTATAGCAGCAGTTCAGTGTTTCGGTTATACATATATACCAAACACCTAACTGTTATATGCATGTGAATTTTGCTAAGCTTGTTGCAACTCAGCAGATTTGCAAATTTCTTTATAAAAGGTATACACAAATATAAAAGAGCTAGTCTACCAAGCTTCATCGGAAATAGCATTAATATTACAATACTATATCAAATTGATACTGTAAGAAAAGCTAGAGTACTTGTATAACACTTCCAATAACTGAAATATAATAACACATAAATGTTATACGTTTGCATTCCCCCGCGCTCATCTTCATTACACAGAATGTTGCTCTGTTTTGATAAAGTCGTAACGAACACATCTCGTTTTTTCTTTACTGTTTTTAGTAAAGATAATAAAACTCATTATATGTTCTTCTCTTTTATATTCAGAGAAAGTTGACCTGATGTAGGACAAGTACAAAGATTTGATTTGTTGACAGAAAGCGAGAACCGGTCACTTTTCATATACAGAAATATATCTTCTCAGCTCACGAAACCAAACCACTGTAGCAGTATAAATAATCAATACATAGATCTATGTATATGCAAAGCTATAAGTTAATATGTATATATACATAAGCTTAGTACTTTCAGAGAAAATCAGTATTGAATAATTACAGCTTTTCGAATCGTTTATCAATCCTTACCTGCCAGGTGCCAATGCCAATGACGGGCATTTTCTCACCATTGTTAAGTGTTAAGAACTTCGTGCAAGCCATTTTTAATGTAAATAATCTTTTAAATCCACTTGTTGAATGCTTAAGTTAAGAAGCGAGTACAAATGCCAACACAACCGTCCGGATTGAACGTTCCAAAGGGAATAACTAAGCGGACTGCTTGGCCGGCAATAACCAAAGCTTAGAGAGAGCTTTTAAGCAGTGTACAGTGGGACGCTTGGTCATAAAATGTATTATTACATATGCCTCGAATTCTGCATGGTGATTTTTATCTCATTCAAATAAATGAACTAATTACTGTAATATATAGTCTGGTTTTAAATTGTACAATTTTAATATATAAATATTATCAACTAACGCATTTAAGTGCACAGCATTTATATTAATTTTTCAATCTTGCGCCACTATGCTTTAATTTTTCTACAGTGTTGGTTAATGCAGCTTAACGCTATCGATTAATTCTACCATTAGTAAGTATCGATATACTCGTCGGTATTGTGAACATTGCGGCGCATATATTTTGTAAGTTTTTAAATATTTAAAATGAAAACGGATTAGGATCAATCTTCTAATTAATAGCATTGAACTATTTCTATTAAATGTACTTGAAATATAAACAAATTCACTGTGGAAGTAAATTAACGCAACAGGTAGTCTGTCAACACGTGCTTAAAACGTGAGAGCACTCACATTGTGTGTCTCTCTTGCTCTTGCTATGTACGGAAAAAATAACAATTGCTGGGAAAGATTGATTGAATTTAATTAAAAATGCTGCGCAAAGTGCCGATAATAGTTATACTCGGCTCCACTGGCACGGGAAAAACGAAACTATCGCTGGAGCTAGCAGAACGTTTTGGTGGCGAAATTATTAGCGCGGATTCCATGCAAGTTTATACGAATTTGGATATTGCCACAGCAAAGGCCACCAAGGAGGAGCAGGCACGAGCTCGCCATCATCTACTCGATATTGCAACGCCGGCAGAGCCATTTACAGTTACGCATTTCCGAAATGCGGCATTGCCCATCATAGAGAAGCTGCTGGCCAAATCAAAGCCACCGATTGTGGTTGGCGGAACAAATTACTATATAGAATCTTTGCTGTGGGACATACTGGTGGATACCAAAGAGGAGCAGATAACGACAAACGGCCTACAATTGTCAGCGGATGTAATGGCCGCCATGTCAACCGCTGAGCTGCATCAGCATTTGGGAAAGTTCGATGCAGGAAGCGCGAATCGCATACATCCTAACAATCGTCGGAAAATCCAGCGTGCCATTGAGGTCTACCAAAGTACGGGGAAAACGCTGACCGAGAAGCTTTTGGAGCAGCGTAAGCAACCAGGTGGCAACCGTTTGGGAGGTCCACTGCGCTATCCACATACTATTTTGCTCTGGCTGCGCTGTCAGCAGGACGTGCTTAATGAGCGTCTGGATAAGCGAGTGGATAACATGTTACAGCAGGGTCTGCTCAAAGAGCTGCGTGAGTTTCACAATAGCTACGCGGATGTCACTCTTCAGGCTTATACAAAAGGCGTCCTACAGACCATTGGCTACAAGGAATTTGTGCCGTATTTGATGAAATATGATGCACAACAGGATGCCAAGGTTGAGGAGTATCTGAGCACCCACGAATACCAGTTACCTACTACAGAGCAGCTTGCAGCTATAGAAACGGAGGATGGGGAGCAGCTGGCTGCCAGTCTTAAAGCTCTGAGTAGCTGTTGTGCTGAACTGAAGTTGGTGACGCGCCGCTACTCCAAGAAGCAGTTGAAGTGGATAAACAACCGCTTCTTGGCCAGCAAGGATCGCCAAGTGCCCGATCTGTTCGAGCTGGACACCAGCGATGTGAGCGCCTGGCACGAAAATGTCTACAAGCGAGCCGAGTGCATCATCGAGAGCTATCGCCAGACGCAAGTCTGTGAGATTGCGCCCATGGCCAAGCGTGTGCATCCTGGCGCCGAGCTCAACGAGGAGACGAGCAACTTCTGTACCATATGCGAACGTCACTTCATTGGCGAATATCAGTGGAGTCTGCATCTCAAGTCCAACAAACACAAGCGTCGACGCGAGTCGCAGCGACGCAAGCAGCAGGAGGCAGACGCAATCGGACCCCAATCGAAGCCGGCAGCAATGACAGCAGCTGCTGCCGAGCTTCCCGATAAGCCGCAGTAACTGAGACGCCTAGACAGTTGTTATAATAAATGTATTTACGTATACAAAACCTGAGTTGTAGCTTGTTGATATTAGAGTAGAGAAAATTATTTTAGTTATGTAATGGAATATGCAACATGTTGAAGAAGCTATATAGAGTATAAGGCATAGATATATAGGTATAAATGTATATTCTATATTTTGTATTATACATTTATATATTATATTCTATATTAGTCAACACAGTCGGCTTACCTATAATAATAATACCTATACCGAAGTCCGGCTTATCTGTATTTATTACAAATATAGATTACTTTCTGTAGTACATCGACCTATAGCTAAGTTAGAGTATTAAAATCAAAGTCAACTGATCAATATTTTCGAATATGTTTTTGCTGATGCAAGCGAGTGGGATGACCCTTCCCCTGAATCGCAGAGAGGGGGGTCCTATGCGCTATCAGCTCGAAGCCGCAGCCCATAGAGGTCGTTGCCTAGGCGAAAAGCGAAAACATGTTTGTGCAGTTGGAGCCCACATCGTTGCATTGAAATCGTTTCATCTTTCATTTGCATTTCAGCTGTCGAGTGAAACGCACGTACGCACGCCAAGGACCAGCAACGATGGCAAACCAGAAAATAGGTGAGATTCAGACTGCAAGCATATGAAGTACATAAAATCCTATATCAAATATATATATATTTGCAGCACTGCTCAGCGTCTCGGACAAGACGGGTCTGTTGGAGCTGGGCAAGCAGCTGAGCGCTCTGGACTTTCAGCTAGTCGCCAGCGGTGGCACAGCAACTGCGCTGCGTGCCGCTGGCCTGAGCGTCAAGGATGTCTCCGATATAACGGGCGCACCCGAAATGCTGGGTGGTCGGGTGAAGACGCTGCATCCTGCTGTACATGCGGGCATCTTGTCGCGCATCACCAGCAGCGATCTGGCTGATATGAAGAAACAGGAGTACAATCTCATCCAGCTGGTCGTCTGTAATCTCTATCCCTTTGCCAGCACCATCGCCAAGCCGGATGTCAGCCTGGCCGATGCCGTGGAGAACATTGATATTGGTGGCGTGACGTTGTTGCGTGCCGCAGCCAAGAATCATCAGCGTGTTACGGTCGTCTGTGAGGCCGTCGACTATGCGAAAGTTCTGGCCGAGATCAGTGCCAAGGGTGATACCACGCTGGAGACGCGTCAAGCTCTGGCACTGAAGGCTTTTACGCATACGGCCAGCTATGACGAGGCCATCTCTGATTACTTCAGAAAGCAATACGGCGCAGGCAGTTCACAGTTGACGCTGCGCTACGGCATGAATCCTCACCAGAAACCGGCGCAGCTGTACACAACGCTCGCCCAATTGCCGCTCCGTGTGCTGAATGCCTCGCCCGGCTTTATCAATCTCTGCGACGCGCTCAATGGCTGGCAATTGGTCAGGGAACTGAAGCAGGCACTGCAGCTGCCAGCGGCAACAAGCTTTAAGCACGTCTCGCCTGCTGGAGCCGCTGTGGGCGTGCCGCTCAACCCGGCCCAGGCTAGGCTCTGCATGGTGGACGATCTGTACGAGCAGCTGACGCCCTTGGCCACGGCCTATGCACGCGCACGTGGAGCCGATCGCATGAGTTCCTTTGGTGACTTTGTGGCGCTGTCCGACATCTGTGATGTGGTCACAGCCAGGATTATTTCGCGTGAGGTCTCCGATGGCATCATTGCGCCCGGCTATGAGCCGGAGGCATTGGAAATTCTGAAGAAGAAGAAGAACGGCAGTTATTGCATTCTGCAGGTAAATCTGATCACATCCATTAAATCCTCTTCGTGCTACTGCTAATCTTGAAACACTCCCAGATGGATCCCAACTACGAGCCAACCGTTATGGAGCGTAAGACCATCTTTGGCCTGACCCTAGAGCAGAAGCGCAACGATGCCATTATTGATGCAAATCTCTTCTCCAATATCGTCAGCAAACGTAAGCCGTTGCCCGAGTCCGCTGTGCGGGATCTGATTGTGGCCACCATTTCACTGAAGTATACCCAGAGCAATTCCGTGTGCTATGCACGCGATGGCCAGGTGATTGGCATCGGCGCTGGGCAGCAGTCGCGCATCCATTGCACGCGCCTCGCTGGCGAGAAGGCGGACAACTGGTGGCTGCGCCAGCATCCCAATGTGGCCGCCATGAAGTTCAAGGCGGGCGTGAAGCGTGCCGAGATCTCAAACGCCATTGACAACTATGTGAACGGCACGGTGGGCAAGGACATGCCAGTGGCGCAATTCAAGGGCATGTAAGCAGAAGTTCCAGTTGCGTACAGAATATTCTCTAATCCGTTGCTGTCCTCTAGGTTCGATAAGGCACCGGAACAGCTGACGACAGAGCAGAAACTTGACTGGCTGAAGCAGTTGAGCGGCGTGGCTCTCGGCTCCGATGCATTCTTCCCCTTCCGCGACAACATTGATCGTGCCAAACTTGTGCGTAGCTCTAACTATTGATGCCCTCAAAGCACTGGCTAATTTTTGTTCTTCTGCTTACAGAGCGGCGTCTCCTACATAGCCAGTCCGTCCGGCTCCACCAATGATGCGGGCGTCATTGCCGCCTGTGACGAGCACGGCATTATTATGGCGCACACCAATCTGCGTCTCTTCCATCATTAATTACCATTTGAAGAGGATCCCTTGAATGATTACCCATATATGTGCTGATAGCCACAGAATACCCTATAGTTCACATTCCTTCAATCTAAACAATAAAAGACAATTGCCTTAGTTAGTTAAACGTTCGCTGCCTCGACTAATAGCTATATTTATTTTATTAAGAGAATTAGTTGCTAACTAATGTACAGTTGATGGAGTCCGGGCCGTTTAGTAGCGCCGACTGCGTCGCTTGCGACAGGCGCCGCGGCAATTGCACACAAAGGTGATGAAAGTCAAGCAGAAGAGCAGCACGGAGCCCAGCACCAAGGCCAGAGTGGTGGTCTGATCATAGTTGAGCGTGGCGTCCAGCACATGCTGCTGCGGCAGCAGCTGAAAGTCGTGCAGCACCTGTGTGCCGTTGGGCGGTGGGCAGGGCTGCTGCACAATGATCTCCTGATGCTGCACCTGCAATGGCCAGACTCTATATAAGTACAAATTCTTAGCTTTAAATGAATTTACGATTTACTCACCTGTTTGTTGCGGCACAGCTGCAAACCTGCCGAATTGGCCAACGTCTCGGCGCTGTACTCATCCTGCACCAGCACGGGCAGCAGCCATCGCTGGGGCGAGGCTTGCTGCAGCCAGGACCAGAATTTGGCCAAATTGCGCGGATGCACCAAGTAGCCACCCACGGCGGCCAGTGTCAGACTGATCAGGGCGTTGACCAGGCTGGCGGACACCTTGCAGGGCAGCAGATGGGCGCAGAACAAGGCGAGCGTTTGTACGAGCGTCAGATAGAGCAGCATATACCCTGTAAAAAAAATAGAGTTAATTGATTACTGAGCTTCGCTTGTCATTTCTGTTATACTTACCCATGTACAGGTAGATGCCCGTATCGCTGCTATTCGAATAGGTATAGAGGCCGGCCATGCTGTGCGCCGGCAGCAAATAGGCCAGCCAAATGCACAGGCTGGGAAACAGGCCCAGCAAACTCTGCAATAATAGAGTTCAAGTGTTAAGAGAGCTGAAGCTAATATGGATTTGATTTGAAATGGGGCTTATAATACAACAGAATCCGGTTATACGACTCTGCTTATAGCCAAAAGTTTTGTTTAACAACTTCTGTATGATTTTTCGGATTTCAATGAGATTCTCAGCATGTTTTCACTTTAGTAAAATGTAAACTCAATCATATATTGGCTATGCTTTTAACTGACCTTACATAATTTGGCAAAAATCATAAAAATTTAAATTATATAAAAGACTAATGAAACAAGATACAGAATTTGGAGACACTCAGCTCTTATAAGTTCTTGACGGACGGAGGGCTACATCGACTTATTTGGGGTCTGTCACGCCATACAAAATTGTAGATTCCAAGAATTCAGATGACAGCAATGTAAATCTAACACACCTGGACAATGATATAAAGACTGCGCGAATAGAGACCGAGTCGGATGTCCCGCTCCGCATGGCGACGATCCTCCTGGGTGTCGCGTATGGTCAGCATGACCAGTGGCCAGTAGGCCAGCACCATGACGCAGTGATGGTAGCCGAAGCGATCGTTGTACGATAGTTGTGGATCTGAGGCGGGCACATCCCAGAAGATGCAGCCAATGCAGAGGGATAGCACCGCGGCGGCAATCAGTTTGCTGATCCAGGTGAGCAGCGATCCGGGCTGTTTGTACGCCGCGAATCGTTTGATGAGCGCCTTGGCCTGGCCAAAGAAGCCCGCCTTCATCGTGAAGTTGGGCAGCGAGGCGGGCGGTGCTGCCAGCGGGGGCTCCGAGTTGATTTGATCCCAGGCATTGGCCAACGATTCAATGCGCGCCGATGACTCCAGCATAGCAGCTGCCGACAGATCGTCCAGGGTGACCAGATCAACTGGAGAGTAAGGGAGTTAGACCAGTACTGGCATAAAGGGTGGGCGTACTCACGGTAATAGTCCGCTGGATTCTTGAAGGGCGGACACGGATAGCCCAGCTCGCCCATGTGGCGTGGCAAATCGGCCCGACTGCCGGAGAAGACTGTGCGTCCGCCGGACAGCAGGAGCACGCCGGAGCACATGGACAATATCTCAAAGGTGGGCGGCTGCAGGGTCATGATGACAATGCGACCGCCGCTGCACCACTGACGCAGATACTCCACCAGGAAGAAGGTGTCAAAGATGTCCATGTTGCTGGTGACCTGATCCAGGATCAGCAGCGATGACTGCGCCAGCAGCTGGCAGGCAACGCTCAAGCGCTGCTTTTCCGAGTGCGTCAGCGTCGAGACATTCGAAGCACGCACAGTATTGAGGCCCAGATCCTCGATGAGCACGTCCATGCGATCCTTCAGATCACTGCGGTCCAGTGGGCCACGCAGCGCCGCATGGAAATTCAGCGTGCACTGCACACTCATGCGCGGATCCAGCGAGGAGACATCCAGTGCGGGCACATAGCTGCACAGCTCGCGCAGACCACGGCGATTCACCTGCTGGCCATTGATCAAGATCTCGCCGCCCAGGCGCTCCCGCAGACCCGCCAGGCACTCGGCCAGGGCGCTGCCCTCACGCTGCGATGTGGCCATAATGGCGAACAGATCACCCGCCTTCGCCTGCAGCGAGACGCCGTGCAGGCAGGGACTCACGTCCAGGCAGTGCACCTGTATATTGGGATAGATCAGTCCCAAGCTCGACTGTTTGCGGCCATAGGGCTGCGCATGTCGGGAGCTGCCATAGATGCGTGACTCGCCATAGTCCCCATAGCCCAGCCCCCCATCGCCACCCAGTCCGGCGCCCAGCAGATCCGCCTCGCTGTGCGAGCGATGGCCGTAGTGCTTGCCGTTGGTCATGTACTGTGGCTGCTGCTGCATATGCTGCTGTTGCTGGAGATGATGGTGCTGGCCGACGGCTATGCTGGCCCGGCTGTTCGCCTGGCGGAGTGCCGCCGCTGGCACGCCGCCCTGGGCGCGCGACTCCGGCCGGGAATGCGCCATGGCCATGCCCATGCCGCTGATGGCACGGAAGTCGGATTCGCTGCGATACTTGCGGAGATTGGGCGGCACTCGGCTGCGCGTGGTCTCGTTGTCGCTGCTGTCATAGCCGCTGGACCCAGCGCCCGCCGGTGCACCCGAGCTGTCCCGGAAGCCGCGATTCACACGGCCGCGCACGCCGCCCAGCGCACTGGAGCCGCCCGGACCCGGGCCAGGTCGATGCGAGCGCTGTGAGCCCGCATTGGGCGGAAACACGCGTGGCAGTCCAAACTTTAGATATGTGTACATATTGGAGCCTAGGGGTGATCTGAGGGTGGAAGAAGAGAGAGAGAGAAGGAGGGAAGTTAGATAATTTGGAGAGTAAATTTGATCAGCTCTTGACTTGACAGAGTAGAATAAGAGTAGAAAAGGTACTCCAGCTGTAAATACGTAGAAGATACCCTGAAGTTTTTGAGCTATTGATCTGGATTAATATCTTTATCCATTTACTTCAACATTAAATGTGCACTTAAAGTTTAAATTTAAAAATATTTTTCGTAACATTTAGTTTCTATAGAAGTATGAAAAATAACGTTATATTACAATCTTTCGTTTTAAATATTTTTCTAATTTTTTTTTTCTTTTTTTAATTTTAATTAGTAGAAAAACTATTATTTTGATGGGATTAAATATTAATAATTAATCGACAAGCACAGACATATTTTCTGGTAAGCCCTTAAACTTGTATTTAGATTTTAGTATTATTTTTTCAGCAAAAACTAAAAATAAAAAATTTATCTTTAAGCTTAAATGAAATTTTTTTTATATATTTATTTATATGTATTAACATTTGCTTAATTTTATTTTTTACAAAATAAATAAATAATATTTTATTGATGTTATTTTCGCAAAAACTAAAATCCAAAAAAATAAATGTAATTA